ACATAGGCCCTGTGAGCAGGCGAGCTTTTCGCTTAAGCTTCTGATCTCCGCTTTCCGGGTCCGCACTGCGCCGAGAATGGTTTAAGTCTTGGTGTGTCGGGTTTAGCAGTTCGCAACTTGCCAGTAGTCATGTCCTATACTAGATACCGGAGTTTGCAGCATGTGCAACGCCGGATTTTGCACCCAGTGACATATCCACTAGACAGGGACATACGCAGGGATAGGCCCCTAAACCCTAAACCTTAGTGCCAAGGGTTAAGCCCGGTTGAGCCCTAAGACATGGACCCTCAATCCTAAAATCTGCACCCCAAGCCCCCAACTATCCTCAACTCGAAGCGCTAAGGGCTTTGCCCTGAATCTTCCAAACCCCTCAGCCCTTCATAGTCCGGAAGCCTTATCAGTCCTTGTAGAAGCTGTATAGATACCCTGAACTTGAAACCCTCAACCCTAAACCCTTACCGGCCAGGAAAAGTGCGCACCTGGTAGGCAGAGCCTGGAAAGTGCGACGAGCGAACCACGCGGGCCTCGGAAATGGGCGAAGTGCGGTTTAATTTCTGTAAGGGCTCCTTTAAGGTTTCAAAAAGGGGGTCTATAAGGGTTCGTCAATAGGTTTAGGGTTTAGGTTTTGGAGGCAGTTTGAGTAGAAAAGGAGGCTCATGAAAGGGTTTTGGTTTGGCGTTTATGGGCGGGACATAGCCATTCTCTTTGGATCTCTGTTCTACTTGTAGTCAGCCGATACAAGTCAGTTCGGGCAAGTGTAGGGTGGCCAGCCCGCTCGTCCGCACGGCTCACAGTTACACATACAGGGTTTTCATGGATCCCCAGATGCTAACTGAGAAAGAAAAACAAGTTGCCAATTCAAGCTCGGCACGAACTACGAAGCTCGCGTGAGATTCCAGGAGCCATGTTTGCCCCTGACCCTTCAAGTTTACAAACCATAACATCAATGCCGAAATATGCATACTGGGCTACCAATACCTGAAGGGGCCATAGTGGGCGTACTAGGACGAAAGGCTTAAGATTCGATTTTTTGCCTGCGCCTATCTGAAGTTTCCACACCTCTCAGCCACTTTTGCCCACACCAGCTTGGGCGAGTTGCGGCCATGCGCGCATGCGCCGTTGGGCTGTTCCTACTCCTCCGGCTGCCCGGCGGCAGGGCTGTTGCCACTAGCAGGACTGTATTAGGGACCCAAAACGCACATAAGCATAAACATTTTATGGGGATATCCCTACCTTATTGGGCTTCGTTATAAGGGGGTTTATATGGGATATCCCTATCCTTGTTTTCAATTATTTTTGGGGCCCTACTGTAGGATCGGCGTTCTCTTGTTGGCCCCCGCGCAAAAAACCGTATTTCCACGAGAATGCCTCGACGGAGCCCTAAACCCCAAACCCTAAACAGGCCCCTAAACCCTATTATAGAACCCTATACTACTGTACCCTTTAAAGGCGAGCCTAGTACAGAACCCTATGGTACCCTTAAAGGGGACCCTATGATAGAACCCTAAAGTACCCTTGAAGGGGAGGAGTGCAGGTTAGCGCCTCAGAGGAGTGCAGGCTAAGCTCTTGCAAAGGGGTTTAGGGTTTAGCCTTTGGTTTAGGGTTTAGGTACCATGTGCTCCAGATTCCACATCAGATCCGAACGCGCCAGCTCAATTTTTCGGCGGCTGTAGAATCCCATGTCCGAGCCTTGGAGCAAAACCGAAGCCCCAGACCCCGCCAAACTCGAAATCCTAGACCCTAAACCTTGAACTCCAAGCCCTAAACCTTAACTGCCCAACCGTCACTCCAAACCGCTAAGCCCCGACATCCTGACTCCTACATCTGTAAGCCCTAAGCCCTAAACCCCAAACCCCATGAACCCGAAAGCCCCGGCCCGCGAATCGAGCCGCAAGCTCGTGGTCGGTAGCTAATTTCGAAACAGCAGTGGTAAAAACACTGTTTTTTGTCCTCATACGAGTAAGAGTAAGTATTTTGTAACAATAGTAACCGTATCCGTAGTAACAATGGTAGCAATCGTAGTGCTTGTGACCATAGTACAGGCACTGACACTAGTGGTACTAGTAACACCAGTACTAGTATAAACGATGGCAATGATAGAAACAATGCTATAATTCCTGGAATGATGGTTATACTGAGTGTCACGGTAATAGCGGCAATGAGAATAACCTGATGTCCAAGGTTGCGCTGCATTGTGGGCATCAACATCGGAGTCTCTCTCTCTTTCAGTGGTGGCCCCCTTGCTGCTTTGAGGTCCTAGCAGGGGTCAAGTGGGGGCCTCCTCAAGAATCCCTGTCGCCAGCGAAGCAGAAAGAAGTAATCATCGAAACCTACTGTTAATGCCAAAATCCTGCATGACCAGCAACATCCTACATACTCCACATCGCGCTGCCTACTTCCCCACAGCCCCTTAATTTCAATGTTGCATCTCCATGAGCTCATGCAGGATTCAGGGCATTCGCGCAAGCCCCTTTTTCTAGCTCGTCCGTCAGAGCAATATTCAAGTGAACGGTAGCAGGGAAGCCGTGGAGATGTTCAAAGTCATGCAGAATTTTGGGCATCAACCGTAGGCGCCACGGATCTCAGGATCCAGGTGTTGTGGGATGTTGGTGTTGCATAAAGCCACCAATAGTTTTACTGTTGTGATCCTGCACCTCCGCATTTTTGTTTTGACTATTGGGGTTTAGGCTGCATGCTCCCAAATTCCGAAAATCGGGGTGAAGCTGCGTAGGTGCGGGGCTTGGGAGCTTTAGGTCTCTTTGGTTTCGGGTCGCAGGGATCGAGCTTCAGGGTTCCTTTGGGACCCGTACCATGCGTCTTCGCTGTGGTTCTCCTTCCAGTAGTGATGAGGTTGTTGAGGAAGCTGCAGCTTGTTAATGATGCAGAGACGGAGATAATGTCTGACGTTGTTGGTGCAAGGGAGGCGGTCTTTGTTTGTGATCTGTAGCGCCTAAATGGTGTCGCTGCTGAAGCAAGCACGGGTACGACAAGAAGAAGAAGCAGCAGTAGCAGTAGCAGTAGCAGGAGCAGCAGCATCAGTAGCAGTAGCATCAGTAGCAGTAGCATCAGTAGCAGTAGCAGCAGTAGCAGTAGCAGTAGCAGTAGCAGTAGCAGTAGCAGTAGCAGTAGCAGTAGCAGTAGCAGTAGCAGTAGCAGTAGCAGTAGCAGCAGCAGTTGTAGTAGCAGTTGTAGTAGTAGTAGTAGTAGTAGTAGTAGTAGTAGTAGTAGTAGTAGTAGTAGTAGTAGTAGTAGTAGTAGTAGTGGTAGTAGTCACAGTAGTAGTAGTAGTAGTAGAAGTGTAGTAGTAGTAGTAGTAGTAGTAGTAGTAGTAGTAGTAGTAGTAGTAGTAGTAGTAGTAGTAGTAGTAGTAGTAGTAGTAGTAGTAGTAGTAGTAGTAGTAGTAGTAGTAGTAGTAGTTTTAGTAGTAGTAGTAGTAGTAGTAGTAGTAGTAGTAGTAGTAGTAGTAGTAGTAGTAGTAGTAGTAGTAGTAGTAGTAGTAGTACTGCAACAAGAGTCTTTGTTGTTGTGGTCGTGGCGGTTGTGGCGGTCGTGGATGGTGTTGATGTGTCTTTTGTTGTATTTGTTGTTGCTGTTGTCGTGGCTGTCTCTGTCGCTGCTGCTGGTGATGGTGTTGTGGTGATGATGGTGGGGGTGGTGGGGGCTGGGGTCTTGTTTGCAGCAGCTGCTGCCTTTGCTGCTGGTGTTGTCTTCGCTGGAATGATTCATGTTTCCAAGAGAACAGGACTCTAGATCTGTGCCAGATCCCTCTACTCCAGCTGGTGCTGAGCGGTACGGGAGACCCAAACCCCAGACCCCCAAACGATACAGCAAGCCCTATTAGCCTATGGTGGCCTATAAGGTTGCTGTATATCATAGTACCCCATATGGTAGCCGTCACAGGTAGTTGTAGTGGTAGTAGTCATCATCGCAGTAGTGGTAGACTTATAGTAACCCCCTAAACCCCAAACCCTAAACCCTAAACCTTAAGCCCCAAACCCTGAATCCTAAACCTCAACCCGCTAAACCCGAAACCCTAGACCCTAAACCTTAAGCCCCAAACCCTGCGCCCTAAACCCTAAACCATGACCCCCTAAACCCCAAACCCTAAACCCTAAAACCCTAAGGCTACTATCAGACAACCAGCTCATACCTCGAGCTTCCGGCCTGGGCGCTCAGAAAAAACCTCGCACGGACGGCGCTTTGGAGTTTAGGTGCGTTTAGGGTTTAGGGTTGGTGTTTAGGGTTTAGGGTTTGGGTTTAGGGTTTAGGGTTGGTGTTTAGGGTTTAGGGTAGTTTAGGGTTGCGGTTTAGAGTTCAGGGTTTAGGGTGTTGGGTTTACTTACAGTTTAAGGCTCTGGGTGGACGGTCTGTGGTTTAGGGTTGGGGGGTTTCTTGTAGCCATGATTGTGCTGACCACGGTTGAGTTCCAAAAACGGTCATGAGCCTCCAACCCCCAGATTGATTGACTGAGCCATAAACCTAGCGCTAACCCCAGGAACCCTAAAGCTTGATGCTGTCGGGTCACAACACCGCCATGGAGCAGCGCCGCGGTGTATCAACTCAGAAGGAGTTGAGAAGACGGGCACGCCGCCGCAGCGCCCACACGGCCGGCGAGACCCGGGCGCACCCTCCAACACTGTTGGAGGCCTCCATGGTGGGGAGCATTCCCCAGCCCCACCGAGCTCGCCGTGTGCGCTGTTGTGGCCCAGGTTGCTTCTAATCGTAAGCTACTTTCCAGGCCAAGCCTGTATAGCGACTCCGCTGAGCACTCTATCTGCAAACCCCGCCTCTCCTGTACGGCTGTTTGCTACCCCGCCATAGCCTGTGGCATAGCCCTGTGGCAGGCCTCATGCCTATCAGCGCCCCCAATTAGCACCCCAAATCTGCTGTGTTATTCGGTCAGCGCCCCCAATTAGCACCTGTATGCGGCCCTCTTCGTAGCCCTCTCCGAGAGGTGATGTGCGACCAAATATGGTAGGAGGGTCCACCCGGTGGTAGCCATGAATGACTCGTCGAGTGGCTCGGACATCGACCTGGATCCTCGCGAAGATTTGCGCCTCTCCGAGGAAGCTCGGGGACGATGGCAGGGCGGGAGTCGTGTGGAGCTCCCCCGTTTCTCCGGCTCGTGTCTGGGAGACGACGTATCTTGGAAACTGAGCGGCACGCTGAGAGTAGTTGGTCTACAGACAGCGGGAACAGGACGAGATAGATATGTGTGGGGGCGATGGTGGGCTGAATTCCTCATAATGCTGGGTGCTGACGTGGGCGTCCTCACCGAGACCCGCATCGCCAACGAGTCGGGGCACGCTGCTGCCTGCCGCGGACTGCGTGACGGCGGTTTTGCCGCGGTCAGTCACAACTGCTTGACTCCCCCCCGTGGCGCGTCCTCTGAGGTAGCCGCTGCAAATGATCCTCGCTCGGGAGGAGTTGTCCTCGCCATTCGGACGACACACACGAGCGGGTGGACGGATGTGGCGGCAGACTCACATGGACGTGGGTTGGCTGCATCTGCGCTGCTCGCGAATGGGGCGTCGCTACGCCTCCTGGGCTTGTATGGAGTGACGGGATCTTGCCTCCCAGGGTTCCAGCTTCGGGAGGAGGCGAAGCATCAAGAGGCGCAACTGAACCTGTTCGTCCGATCACAGTGCCGCGAGCAGGCACCCTCATCCATACATTGCTGGACTGCGGCATGGTCGATCTCTTTCGCCAACGTCACCCTAGACTCCGCGCATTCACCTTCTTCCCGCGCACAGGAGGGGCTTCCAGATTGGATGGCATATGCTGGAGACCAACACCTCACTCAATGATCCACGGCCTCAACGCTGCCATCGTCTGGAACTGGCCAAGACGCACCGACCATGCCCGTTGTGGCGATTTCAAGGACGAGAAACGCTGGCGGGGCTGTGCTGCAGAATCTTCCCCTTCCCTAACCCTTCGTTCACCCGGCGCTGGCCAGCTTGAACTCCAAGTGGAGGGGACAATGACGGTTACGGAGTCCCCCGCGAAGCCGGGAGGGATGGCGCCTTGGCTCGGCTTCCTCTGAGTGGCCACTTTCTCGCTCACTCGCTCACCCCCAGGATTAGTGACCACGCCTTAGACCCTCAAGCCTAAACCCTAAAACCCTAAACCCTAAACCCTAAAACCCTAAACCTTACACCCTAAAACCCTAAAACCCAAACCCCTAAAACCCGAAACCCTAAACCCTGAACCGTAGGGTTTCCGACTAATCTTTAGAGCCCGAATCCGCAAGCCCCAATACCGGGGGTCGGAATGATGTGCAGCACGGTCCAGTTATAGCCCCGATAAGTATACAAGAATGCCATAGTGTAGCCCCCAAAACCCTCAGAGTTAGCTAACCCTCTTCTTGCGCCTACAAGAGCCTCAGACGACCGTCCTTGTTAATGATATACGGAGTTCATAATAATCAGGTAGGGATATCGCTGTAAAATGCTTATGCTTACCCTTTTTTCGTCCACCATCAAAAGCTTGGCTATTTGGGGTTAGGTAGGGTTTGTGGACTGTTTTGGTGTAGGGGCTTTGGTGCTCTTGTGTTGGGTAGAGGGTGTAGTAGCTACTTTGCGTGTGGGAGCTGGGCTGGGGCTACGGCTAATTACTCCGGCTGATGCCCTAAATTCCTAAGTCCTGCATGACTTTGAACCTCCCCACAGTTTCCCTGCACCCCTCATTTCGAGATTGCTCTGATGAAGGGCCAGTAAGACAAAGGGCCTGCGAGAATGCCCTAAATCCTGCATGACCCCTTGGGGATGAAACATGGAAATTAAGGGGTTGCCGGGAAGTGAATAGCGTGATGTGGAATATGTGCGATGTTGCCACTCATGCAGGATTTCGGGATACTGGGGGCATCAACAGTATTCGAGCCTTAGGAGTTGACTGACAATTGATATTCTGGGAGCTAAGGAGCCAGGGATGATGATAATCCCTATTAAATAAGGAGCTAAGGAGCCAAGGAAACCCCCAAAACCACTGGTTAGATTACCAGCCAATTTTTGCTCAGCTCTGCAGCCTCAAGCAGTGAAGCCTGAGGCCCTGGGACCTAAAGCCGCAACCTTCAACCCTCGACCCTGAAGCCCAAGCATAAGCTTGCAATCTTAAACGCGTCTCCGGGTAATACAGAAGCCTGAAAGTTACCAATATTATGCTTGAAAGTAATACAGAAGCCTGAAAGCTACTAATATTATTCCTGAAATCTCCTTGTTATCCTTATGGTGTAGTAACCATAGTGTACCCGCCAAACCCCATTCTGATGATTAAGGCTTTATACTGGGCCCTTATAAACCGCCTCTAGTAGCACTTGTAGAATAATGCCACTTATAGTAAGCCTTGCAGCAAGATGGTAATCCGATAAGTAACCCTCAAGAAGCCCTTTGCGTATATGGAACCCGAACAGATCCACATTGTTGAGCTCTTCCATCACATCATCAACTCCGAGACAAACGCCGCCAGCGAGATCGGCAAGGAGTTCTTCATCGAGCTCATACCCACCAATGAACGGCAATTCTGTGTATTCTTCGTCAAGGAGAAGTCGCCCCTTGATGGGTCGCTCCTGGCCAAGTCCCTTGCTTATGTCCTCGACAAGGCGGCAGAACTGGTCATGGCACGTGACATTTTCCTCCAAGGAGCTCCAAGGCTCGAAGAAAGCAGGCCGCAACGCCGCCGTCGTCAGGGGCTGCACCCAAAGGAACTTGTCGAGCATCCCAGGCGTCACTGCAACTTTGAGCGGCGCAACACGGAGGATCAGTGCTGAACCTTGTTGAGGGGCAGTGGGCAATGATGGCGGATGATACATGTAAGGTGAATGACGGGTCGCAGAACGGGGACGAGGGTCTGATGATGACGGCAGCCAGGGCAGTAACGACTCCTGACGTGCCCCACTTTTGTGGATGATGAGGGTGGCAAGGGAGCTCAGCGGTGCTGACGTGAGGGGTGAGGGTTGCCTTTTCGAGTGGTCTCATCGTGGCCAACTCTCCTGGCCTCCAGGCCTTTCTAGGAGACGCAGCTTGCAGCCTCTTGGGAAAAACGATCAAAGAAAAAAACAAAATTATGAATGCACCGGTATGAAATGGATCTTAGGTCTGGGCGCGACCTGTGACGCCGCCGACCGGTTCCGGGGCGGTGCTTACGACGGACGGGGTATGGGGTGCCCTGTAAGGGATATCATAAGGGGCACTATAAGGAGGGCTATTAGTGATACTATAAAGGATACTATACGGGATGCATAAAGAACAGTATTCAGGATACTGTAAGCGACACTACAAGGGACACCATAAGGGATGCTGTAAGGGATACTACAAGGGATACTATAAGCGATGCTATAAGCGATCGAACATCTACTATAAGGGTCAGGGTTCAGAGTTTTGGATGCAAGGGTTTAGGTTGTAGGTGTAGGGTTCAGAGTTTGGGGTTTGGGCTGCAAGGGTTTAGGTTAGGGTTGAGGGTTAGGGTTTGTTACCCCTTTGGAAGAGTTCTCCGTGGGGTTTAGGTTTCGGTATTGGCGTGCAGGGCAGTGTAGGGGGTTTAGAGTCCAGGTTTAAGTAGGGACTTGCGGCTTCTATCTGCAGGTTTGGTGGCATTAGGTTCTTTGGTGGGCGGATGCGTCTAAATGCTGGAATACACTAATATGTTCCGTAGACCCCAAGACAGCATGACGTCGAGACCCTCGGCCGTACGTCACTTGGGACCGTGGTGGAGTGGCAATCTGTTGAAACAATTACCAAACTTGCTCAACAAATCGAATCCCGACCTCTAAACCTTAAGATCCTGAAAGTCATCCTGTTTAGATACCCTTGTAGAAAACTAACCCTCCGCAATCACGGCTCTGGCAGGAGCGAGGCTGCTACTACTGCGAACCTGGGCTTTTAAAGTCCTCTCGGGCATTGGGGGGGGGCAAAAGTTGGGAGGGCTTCGGGGTACAACAACACCACCACCACCGCCTCCACCAGCAACCAGCACCGGCACCGGCACCGGCACCGGCACCAGCACCAGCACCAGCACCAGCAACAGCAACAGCAACAACAACAAAGACCACAACAAAGACCACAAAAAAACATCAACAACGACAGCAACAACAGCAGCAACAACAACGACAGCTACCACTGCTGCTGCTACTCCTGCTCCTGCACCTACCCCTACCCCTACCCTTACTCCTACTCCGACGCCGACTCCTACTCCTAGTCCTACTCCTACTCCTACCCACTCCTATTCCTGCTCCTCCTCTAATTTTCCTTCTCCTCCTCCCGCTTTTGCTTCTGCGGTTTTGGCACTCCTTGCTACTGTGTTTGTTGTCGTCATCATCCACACGTTTGTTCTCATTCTCGTTGTGTTTTCCTTGCCGACTGAGGACCATCAGTGTTTCGGTTGCTTCTGCTCTGGTCATGATGATTTGGAAGGCGTTGACCAGTGTCACGGTTCTTTGTCCTTAGCCAAAAGCCCTAAACTCCAAACCCCTGCTTCCTCTTCCCAAGGATCGGGTCAACCAGACTCTGCATTTTTTTGTGCAGCTGGCGCGTGTCCGGGCCCCGACCTACCTAACAAGTCCCCAGTTGTTTAAGGGCCTTATAGTATTGTCGAAGGAGTCTCGGGTGTGGCTTCAGGGCTTTTTCCGGGCTGGGCTTTAAAGATTCAGAGCTAACCAAGATTTGGGATGCCCGGTTTTCCTCGCTCGCAGTTTCCCTAAACTTTCAACCGTGGGTTTAGAGCCTTGAGATGAGGAACGACGCCATCCTATGACTTTCATATGGGTAGTTGTCAAAATTAGGGTCCCTTTTTGGGTACCCTAAATATTAGGTGCCGTACTAAAATAAGAACCCCAAAAGGGACCCTAATTTTGACAACCACCCATATATATATATATATATACAGATACAGAGAGTTTGCCGTATCTGAGTGGGGCATGCAGTTGGGGCAGCACTTGACTATGGACTAGATGGGGGGGGGGGTTAGGGTTTATGTTTAGTGTTGTGACTTGCGCACACCCCAAACCCAAAGTCCTAAGCCCGGGGCCCAGAACGCTAATGGTCTGGTGACCCTTGTTCTCAGTATTGTTGTTGTCGTAGTGTTCGCAGCTTCAGCAAAATCATAATTATTTCGACTGTTATTTTTTTGTTTTGTTGTTATTAGTTGTAGTATTATTATGATACTTCTTCCTCTTACGTTTTACTATTATTATTATTATTACTCTCAACTATGGAATCTCTGCAAGAATCCTTTAAAGAAAACTGTTCCAACCTTTAAGTGGCCTATATCCAAACCCTATAGAAACTTTGCACCCTGGCCCTTAGCGCAACTCGCGTTTATCAGCCCCAAACAAGCCCGTGTATTAAACCTGACCTCCAAGTCTTTGTAAAGTGCAGGCTGTCACCGGCGTGGATGTCCAGCTGACCGTTATGGACGACGCAGGTGAATGGCGAAGGCTGGAGCAGGGTCCGGGGGGTTTATGCTTTAGGGTTTAGAGTTTTGGGTTCAGGGGTTTGGGGTTTAGGGATTTGGGCTTCGGGGACTTCGGGGTTTGTGTTTCAAGGGTTTGGCGTTCAGGCGGCGCTGGGGGTTTAGGCTTTGGCCGCGAGTTTGCAAAGAGGGAGGCCGGCTCCCATATCATCCCTGAAGGTTCCTGGGTACTTACAACTTACAGAACTTGAATCAAAGTAATAATAGCAGTATAGTTCATACTAACATCACTGGTCATCACAATAATGATAAGAACAACAACCACCATCATACTCATAACTAGTATTTTCAACTCTCTTGAGCCACTGCACGTCCTGGTCGTACTGTCTGCCCGGTTGGGCACCGTCAGTCGCACAAGTTGGCCTGGACACTGAACCACATCTATCATCCCTAACCCTCAAACCCCACACTGTCACACCATGAGCAAACTTGACCCTGCAAGTCCGCAAGGCCTTTCTTCCCCCACCCCCCTTCCCTGGTGTTTTTCCTCCCGCTCTGCCTTTCCCCGACCCATCCTGTGAAACGCTAGCCTCCAAGCAGCCGCCGCACCCCGCAGACTGCGCCTGAACTCCAACCCCCCAAACCTCAAACCCTGGACATTAATGTCTTTGGAGCACAAGATCCAAGCCCTGAAGTACTACAAGCCCTGTTGGGACGAAAGAACGGCTATAAAACACAAAAGAAACCCCAACCGGAGAGACCCAACATGTCGAATTGAACACCCTGAGGTGTCGTCAGAACTATCGAGCCCTGGCCCGTGATTCTTCCATCGACTTTCTGTTGGGACCCAGCTTTTCGGTCTGGGAGGCTGGCTTTGGGCTGTCTCTCTCTGTCTCTCTCTGTCTCTCTCTGTCTCTCTCTGTCTCTCTCTGTCTCTCTCTGTCTCTCTCTGTCTCTCTCTGTCTCTCTCTGTCTCTCTCTGTCTCTCTCTGTCTCTCTCTCTCTCTCTTTCTGTCTTTCTTTCTTTCTTTCTTTCTTTCTCTCTCTCTTTCTCTCTTTCTCTTTCTCTCTCTCTCTCTCTCTATCTCTCTCTCTCTATCTCTCTATCTCTTTCTCTCTATCTCTCTCTATCTCTGTCTTTCTCTCTCTCTCTCTCTCTCTGTCTCCTTCCGTCTCTTTCTCTCTCTCTCTCTCTCTTTCCCTGTTTCCCTCTTTCTCTCTTTCTCTCTTTCTCTCTTTCTCTCTTTCTCTCTTTCTCTCTTTCACTTTCACTCTTTCTCTCTTTCTCTCTTTCTCTCTTCCTCTCTTCCTCTCTCTCTCTCTCTGTCTCTCTCTCTCTCTCTCTGTGTGTACCAGTAGGGACAAGAACAAGCCTGGAATATTCATGGTACTGACCGCCACAAGCGAGGGCCACAAGACTGCCACGCCTGACAATAGCCACTATTCATCGGGACCCTTAAAAGGGGTAGGGGGGAGGGGGGGGGTATGGGACTAAACTTAATTAAATAGGCCTTATTCCTTATTATGGGCATTAAGGCCCCCGAACCCCCGACCCCCTACCCCACCTAAGGGTCCTACGAACTATGATCGTCGCGATGACACTGTTCTCACGACGGCAATCACGGTCGCTGGCACGTACTATAGAGGCTTAAATGATTGTCTATACCATGTTGGAGGTTCCTTATTATCATCATAGTTTAAGGGGCCCCTAAACCCTATTCCAATCATGAAGGCTCTGATATAACAGTGACCGTATGAAAGAAAGTTGTTTCTCGAGCTTGTGAATCCTGGTGCATGTACTCGTGCATGCAAACCGGCTTCTACAGGACTGCAGCTGTTAGTGCTGCGCTACTTGGATACCGCATCCTACAGTCGCTCAGAAAGGTACACATCTATTCGTGATTCTGCATGTTCAAGGGCTCTATGACCCTCAACCCTAAACCCCAAGTCGTAAACTGTAACAGCAGTACTCGCAGAGCCCCCAAATCTGTACAGGCGGCAGTCAAGAGAATTGTCCACGACGAAAGCAAGCTCATGATTTCCTGGGTCGGGAACTATCCTTTCTACCTCACTGACTTCAGGACCCTGCAGGGTTTGGGGCCGAGGGTTTCAGTGCTAGAAGTTTCTGGTTCTTAGGGGTGAAGGTTTCGGGCTGAAGGTGTAAGGCTGTATAGGGTTTCGAGATTGATGCCAACGGTTGTCGGGGCCGAGGGATTCCGAGGAAGAGTTTGGAAGTCTGATTTCAGTCAGGTGTCAGAGTATCAATGCTGAGACACGAACTTAACTCGTGTATGTATGTATATACCTTAACCCGCAAAACCTACTTTTTAATGTAGGTTCTCATTATAAAACCTAACATAGACTTCATAGGGAACCTACAAAAAGGAAGTTTCGGTTGGGGACTTATGTACGTACATACGTTTGTATGTACATCCACAGGGTAAGCAGTTATGCGAGTGGCTGCAAGAAGCTGCTCCGAAACCGAGCCAAAACCCTAAACCCTAAACCCTCAAACCCTAAAGCACAACAAAGCCGAATCTCTTTTGCATCCACTCCCTAAGCCCTAAAACCTCATCCCAAAACTTTCAAGCCCTATGCTAATCCCTACCTGAACCCTATAAAACCCACCTTTTTAATTTTAGTGATCCTTATTAAGATTTCTTTATATCAGCCCTTAAAAAGGTAGGTTATTTTGGGTTAAGGCAAACCCTGGCCTCAACCGGGGCCTCCCTCCCTGCGCTTCCCGTTTCCCCAAACCTTGCACTTACGGCCCCCATCCTGTAACTCAACTCTGTACCCGGGGTCATATTAAGGGCTCTATTTAAGTATATTACAGATATTCTCCGGCTGTTGCGGCATGGGGGCAGTACCCAAAGCTTAGACCCTTAGGATTTAGGGTTTCGGATATTGGGTTTCGGGTGAAGGATTCATGGCTTTGGGTTTCTGGATTAGGGGTTCGGATTTCGGATCTAGGGTCTCGGGTGTAGGGTTGAGGGCTTCTGGTTTAGGGTAGAGTTGAATTTAAGGTAGAGTTTGTAGGGGTATCGGGCAGAAAAGTGCAGGGTTGTAGGAGTTTCGACATATTTAGATAGCCTGTAATCGTCTTCCTTAGAGTTCCTTGTTGCAACTTAATTATCACATACCGCCAAACCCTTTTCTAATGACTAAGGCCCCTATACTAAATCCATTACCCTGAAAGTCCAACAGCCCTGAAAAACGAGGCGGTTCACGAACCTCCCTGTTTTGCTGGGCTGTTTGACTAACCTTCAACTTTTGGGTGTGATGAAGAGCGGTAGTTTTGGGATACCTGCAGGGGCCTCAACACGGTTCTAGAGTGCAGGCAAATTCTCTGTGGCAACAACATTTTTGGATTCCGTGCAGCAGCACATACGCGGTAAAATCAACAGCATCACGCCCTCATCACGCCCGGATCACGTCTAAACTGGGCGGTTCCTCGTTCCACATACTATCTATCGATTGGGCTCCCTCCCAGCATCACGCTCGAATCACGCTGGCATCACGCCCGCGGTTGCCCTCAGAACCCCTTCAAAAATAGGCAAAAGAAGCCATTTCTGAAAGAGAACACCGCTGGCATCGCTTGATATCGATATCTGAAGTACTTTTCTGGTCGTCGTGCAAAACAAGGACTTCGAAATGTGAATCTACAAAACTAGGCGGTTAGTTTCAAAACTAGGCGGTTAGTTTGCACGACAAGCCGCCTCGAAAAACGAGGCGGTTGACGTCTAGGGTTATAGAACCCTAAACTCTAAACCCTGAAAGGAACCCTTTAACAGGCACCCTATTCTAATTATTATGGCCCTGAGACCAAACCACCATAGAATAGAGTCCTGAAAGTATCCCTTAAAGGCACCCTTTAAGGCACAATTTAAACAGAACGCTATTCCGAGTATTGAAGCCGTTATATCACTATTGACTCATACTACTGCTAATATTCTGTCTAGTGTTATCATTATTATTGTTCCCAGTATTACTCCTATTACTAAAGGTGTTTTTATTGTTATTACTAGTATTCCTTAATTAAGGGACATTGGAGTCTCAGAGTTAGGGATCTCGGGTTCAGGGCCCGATTGAACCACGAAGCCCGAAACTCGGAGGACGCAGCTGTGTCCGTACTGCAACGAAGACTGGCGACTTGGTCGGAAGCCCTCAAGCCCTCAACTCAAGCATGAACCCTGAACCTGAACAGCAAGCCGGAAATCTCCAAGCGAAGGTAAAGAACGAGCTCCCTTGAATCAGGCAATCTAGGGTGTAGCATTTCGGGTTCAGGGACTAGGATTTGGAGGCTTGTGGGTTTACATAGGCTGCAGAGAAGTTCATTTGACGACAACATGCCAGCATGTCCTGGTAAGCGTCTCAGATTACAGCCGCGCTCTTGCATGATTATTTCTGATGCATGCTGATGCATCCACGCTTCCTCCACAGGTTTGCCATTCCAGGGTGATGTCTCGTCATCAACTCGAACCCCTAATATCTGTAGCCCGGCCTCCATGCAACCTGTAACCCCGGACCCCAAGCTCTTAGCAAATCTTTATCGGTTTTGTTTCGACCGTAAAAGCTTTGGAGTACCATACTTTAATACCTTCTTCTTACAAGGTCCTTTATGAAATACAAGTTTATACTATTTTTTGTTTTTATCTTTTTTCTTCCTCGGTACTTAAAACTTAAAAGCCCAGTAGCAGCCCTCGTCGGTTGTCGGAGGTGGCTCCTGCAAAAGTGGGTCAAGGTTCAGAGTCACGGGTTGAGGGTTAATATAGGGGCCTTAATAACTTAAATAGGGTTTTGGGGACCAATATATTATGATAATAAGAATATTATACATACAGTATATCGGGCCCCAAAACCCTATTCAAATTTTCAGGTAATAAGGAGCCCCCCCTCCAAAAAAAAAAGAGCATTGGTAATTATTTAGGCCCCTAGAGTTGGCGACTGCCGGAGTGTACGGTTCTTATGTCAAGTGCACGGAAGCTGGGTGCTGAAACTTCTGGTATGAGCTCAGACATGCGTCTACCAAACGTGGGGGTTTCCGAGAAAACGGGGGCCCCTGATTTAGTACCTCAACTAGCAAGATCCTTATTATAAGGACCCCAAAACAAGGTACCCCTAATTTTCGGAAACTCTAAACCCCAAACCCTTTAAATATAAACAACCCTAAAGATCCCTTGAAGGAGCCCTTGAAGGATCCCTTTAAAGGACCCCCCCCCATATTTTTCGGAAAACGTGTGACACTTCTCTGAAAAGCCGCCCGCGGGATGCGGAAACTGTCGCCGAAGTCCTTCGGACAAGCTGTCGGCGGGTTTCGGGTTTAGGGATTCCTTTAAAGGGATCTATAAGGGGTTCTATACGGGGGTGTAGGGTTTAGGGTTTAGGGTTCAGGACTTTGGGTTTAGGGTTTAGGTTTTAAGGTTTAGGGTTTAGGTTTAAGGCTTTGGGTTCAGGGTTTAGGGTTTAGGTTTTAGGGTTTAGGTTTTAGGGTTTGGGGTTTTGGGTTTGGGGTTTAGGTTTTAGGGTTTAAGGGTTTCGGACACTTTTGTGGATAGACGTGGATAAACTTGGTTTGCCAGGAGCGAAACGTGTCTACCCGTCCTGTTCAACATGTGTTTCAGCATTGTCCAAACATGTTCGGCAAGACTTTCAGCAGATATTTCCGCATGGACCGACAGCTTTGCTATACCAATTTTCGCATGTGCTGCCCTGAATATATCCGCCATGGTTTGGCTACAGAAGATTCCAGCAGTGTTCACTCATCGCGCACCGTTTTTCGACATATATATATATATATATATGGATCCGCGACCCTTCGCCGACGTTTTCCACCGGTGTTTTACCCAATGTTTGTGTATCTCCGCGGTTATCAGAAATGTAAACAGATTTGAATTTCCATGGGGCTACAAGCAGGGTTTGTTCCTTTAGCAGACCCTCAAGCCCAGTCTCTTGTCAATTGAGGCGAACGCAGATCGATTGGGTAGATGAGATGACTCTTGATTGATCTCTTAGTTTTGGTTCCAAGGTTTTCCGTGGTTGTGTTAGGGTTTTGGATCTGGGATTCATTCCCGTTTATGGTTTAGGTGTTCCTTTGAGCGCTTTCCGGGGTGAAAAGAATTCCTTTTCAGGGGTCTGGACTACAGAATAGGGTAAAGGAGAAGCACCTTCAAGAGGACCGAGTTTGAAGCAAGCCCTAAACCCTTAACCCTAACTTTGAAGCAAGTGATGAGAAAGGCCTGGAAAGGTCTACGACTTGCACTCTAAGTCTTGGCCCGAGCCTCCCGCTAAGTTGACAGTGAACGTCGGACTCGCGTACACCTCAAGCCCTAAAGTCTAAACCTTAAATCCCAAACCCTAGACCCTAAACCTAAACCCTTGGCCCTACTCCTCAAACCCTGAACTTTGAAGCCAAGAGATTTGGAGTGTCTCGGCTCTTGACCTTGTCTGTGTCATAGTGGGATACGATTCTACATGTTTACGGTTTCTTATTTACGGGGGCTTTCGGGTTCAGAGATCTTTACAGATTCTTGAACCCAAAATGGAATAGACAATTCAATTTTTAATACTACCTCCACCGTGGACGAGTGATCATGCTCCCTAAGGCAGAGTTTTTTTTTTGTTTGGGAGGGGGGGGGCTTGTGTGATTACGAAGAGTTTTGCTTGAGATTTCATATGATCCTAGCCCATACCGTTATAACCCTAAAAGACCCGCGTCCAATTATAGCGGCTCCGACCTGAATAGAAGCCTTCAAGTAACCCTCATCGTACCCTTAAGAGGGACGCACTTCTTACCACCAAGGCCTCACATGATGGCTGTCTTCACGATTTGGGACCCTTATCTTTAAGGTTCTAAGTTGAACGCCAGGAAGACTGGCTGAACACAAGTAAGACACAGAAAGAGACGGAAGCATTGAGATCTTATGAAGTACCCCTGAAAGGAGCATTTCGCGCAGCCCTAGAGAAGCCCTTAACGGAGACTGTAAGGAGGGATGCCCGAAACACTTGATTGTGAAATCCTGGTGCTTATATGGGGTCTTCATTGAAAGTGCGAAACCCGAAAACTTTTCGCGCCCCAAAGTTGCAAAGCTCTAGCCCCTAAACCCCAGCCAGCCCGGATTCCCCGACTTACCTAAACCCCTAAAGTCGCAAACCTCTGAACCCTGGACCCTAAACGCTTATAGCACCCCTCATAGAACTCTTATCGTACTTTTCCCTAAGGGTCCAAGTGCCCAAAAAGTAGAGTTTCAAGCTCCAAAAACCACTCAGGGTATGGATTTGGGGATCTAAAATCCTAGTATTTGGGTACTTGGACCCTCTGGCTTTTTGTAGTAAAACCCTAAACCCCAAACCCTTTTACTAAAACCCGAATCCCCGACCTAAACCCAAGGGCCCTAAATCCTGGGATTATCGCCTCAAGGATCGAATTCCAGGACACCGCGTTTCAGACCACCCTGATAGCCACGGCGCGGCCGACAGGAGGAGAGGGGTTTTGGGGTTTGGGAATTCTTAGGTAGGTTTTGGTGTTTTAAGGTTTAAGGTTTGTTATTTGATTCTTGGGGTTTAGGGGTTTGAGTTTTGGAGTTGAGGATTTTGGGATATTGGGGTCGGGTTTTGTGAGTTTAATGTTTAAGATTTGTGGTTTAGGTTTTTGGGGTCTTGGGGTTTAGGGTTCCGAGAAGAAGTACGCAGCAGCAACGATGGTGATGAAGGAACTTCCAGCAAATACAAAGCCGCCTTCAAGAAAACGAAGGCATCTCCAGTGTTAAGCCTTCGCAGTGCGCCAAACCCCTAAACCACAAACCCTAACCCTTATAAATATACAAATACAGGGGTCTGAAAACTCAGTTTTCTCAATGAGGCTGACAAGGGAAGGATCCCACATTATCGCTTGGAGATTCAACTCTTGCCGGCAGCATTGCACACTGGACTGCGAGTTTCCACCTAAACCCTCAACCCTCAACCCTAAACCCTATGAACCCTGAACCCTAAAGACTAACACCAAGAATCCTAGAGCCACATCCCGGCACCTTGGGTGCGTAGACCGCGAACCGTGAACCCCGCAACAGGCCGATACCAAACTATCCCGAGCTTAGTATCAGGGGCCTCGAAAGGTAGGATGAAGGTAGGTGGGGTAATCCCAACTTAGGGTCCCGATATTAGGGCCCCTTCATCCCAGCTACCTTGATCCCACCTTTTGAGGCCTCGAATAGCATCAGGGCCACAGAAGCCCCCAGGGTTTCTCAGGGGGCTGAGGCGAGCCTCAGTCAGACGTTCTTGGAGGTTCATGGGTAGTTATAAGTGGGGTTATAAGTAGGGTAACTATAGTCATAACTCATAAGTAGGGTGATAAGTAGGGTAACTATAGTCATAACTCATAAGTGGGGTGATAAGTAGGGTAACTATAGTCATAACTCATATTAGGGGACTTATAACCCCACTTATTCTTACAGTACCCATGAACCTCCAAGTTGTAAAACAGGAGAGTGCTTGAGTGATGACTTCGAGTCGGACGTCTGCAGTCTGATTTGGGTAAGGGATGGTACGGGTTCACTAGGTGGGGCTTTGGGACATTTTATATTTTTCGCTTATTGGGCTTAAGAGGATCTTATTTACTAATATTTTTCAAAAGCCTTAAAAGCCCCACCTAGGTTTAGGGTATAGAATCTTTAGGTCTAGGTTCCTGAAGTATAGAATCTTTGGGATATTTTAGGTTTAGGCTCCTGAAGTTACAGGCCGTCGAACAAGCGGTTAGATGTGCTCAGCCTTGATTGCTACGAGGGAAGCTCATCTCTGCAGCATCTGGGATGTATTCCATAATCCCCAGAAACGATACACCGCAAGTGTACAAGAGGAAGCCCGATATCTGACCACAGCAGTTCTGGTCGCTTAGAACTTGTAGCTCTTACTGTTGTTCCCTCCAACTTAATACCCTAAACTATAAGCCCTAAGCCCTGATACACGGGCCCCAATACTTGCCAACACTCGCCGGGAGAGCTCCTTCAGAGAAGTCGATCTAAAATCCAACCTGGGAGTTTCCCAAAATAGGGAACCCCTAATATCGTACCCTAAACAGTAGGATCCGTATTATAAGGACCCCAAAATAAGGTCCCCTAATTTTGGGGAAACTCCCATTTTCACCGAGCCTTTTGTCGAATTGTCAATGCCCCCAGGTGTGAGACCACAGGGTTTCGGGGCCATGATAGCTGCCAGTCTTGCTATGATGCTCAGTTTGCGCGCTGATTTCCTGAAGTGGGGGCAGTCCCAGACCCTCAATATCTTAGTTCCCCAAGAACCAACCTGTAAACTTTTTGGATTCTTATAGTTTAGTAGGAATCGGAAAGCTTAACCTTTTATTTCTGTGGCTTATAGGGGTAGTAAGATTGACAAATCACCTTCACAATTGCGCAGGGCGACTGGATTCGTCTGAATGGGCTGCTCGGGCAAGGAAGACTCCCACATCCTCGTTGCGGAAAGTTCAGGGAATTCGGAAATTCATGGGAGTTTCCGAATATAGGGGACCCCAATATAGTACCCCAAATAGTAGGATCCTTATTATATACAAGGACCCCAAAATAAGGCACCCTAATTTTCGGAAACTCCCTCATAGGAATTCAGCAGATTATTGCAGCCCTTGCCCTGCATCCGCTGTTGATGCTCTGATATGCAGGATTTTGCCGAAGATCTCGGCGGAGGAGACTAGTTTTAAGGATTCAGGGCTTGTTGGGGTTTATGGTATAGGGTTGCCGCTGGCAGCCGTATCAGTGCAGGCCGCTGCAACTTCAAGTTCGTCTAGAAGATATAGGCATTTACATATATATATATGTATATATATATATGTATGTATATATATATATATATATATATATATATATATATATATATAATACACATACACGCGCACACACGTACGAATCTACCCGACCCCAATTTGGGACAGCTTCAAATTTCCCTCATATTTGCGTAAAGGATAACTTTATATAGCCCTGGCTGCAAATTAGTGTGGGCTGTTGAAGTCGACACCCAGTATACTATATAAGTGTTCGCAACCTGGCCGTAAAGCAGCGAAAGCAAGCCTTTTTCTGGGGTGTTGTACTTGTTGCTTCTAATTGTGCTGCTGGAGTTTCAGAGCCCAGGGACCCTTCAAAAGAACCCCAAACAGTGGCATCCTTATGATATGGATCTTTGCATGAGGTACCCATAACTGTTTCTTAATGCTCCTTGCGGGAATGCTAGCCCATTTCTGACTCAGCACCCTACTCTTATCGGGCAGGGGAGGACAAGTTGCGTTTAAATGGTTTCAGCACGGCTTCGTCTGAAGGCAGAACATAAACGATCCCTCAGAAAATTGCGTTCCAGGGCACCTATGGCCCTAGGCTTTGGGCTCGCGACCCCACGTAAAACCCCATTAAACACCTATGAAACCGTGAAAAATCCCGCAAACCCTCAAACGCTACAAACCTCAGCCCGTTCTTCTTCTTCTGTGAGGTGATCCCGACGCAGCCGGATCTGCAGAACTTGTTGAGGCGTGATGTAGGGGCCTAAATCATTACCAATACTATTTTGGGGCTCCCTTATTACAACTATACAATGATGAAGGCTAAAACCGTAAACCCAAAATACCCTGCTAGGCCCTACCCCAAACGCCCTAAAAGAACCGTTATAGGTCCCTTATTATAGGAAGCTAGATCCCTGTAGGAGCGCCCTTAAACCCTAACAGAGCACCGCAGAAGTGGTCCGATCCTTGAGTCTGCAGGGTTCATGTGCTTTGGGTTTAGCGGGTTTTAGGGTTTCGGGATGATGGGTTAAAAGGTTTTTTTGGGGGGTTCGGGGTTAGAGTTTCAAGGTGTTTGGGTTTTAGGGCTTAGGGTTTTCAGGGGTCACGGCTGTAGGAAGCTTCTCCTGCTTGGGGGGTCGTGGGGCTGTAGAGAGGTTATTTAGGGTTTAGGGTTCAGGGTTGAGGGTTTAGGGTAATCATAAGTATAGTTACCCTAGTTACGAAGTCCCATGATCCTCTATGTAAGCCTACCCCCCCTCCCTCCTCCCTTATAGAATCCTTAGAGATCCCTTTAAGGAACCCCGTAAGTCTTACTACCCTTTAAGCCCCAAACCAGGAAGTTGGCCTTGTGGGGAGGCTGAGGTTCGGAAGTTTAGGGCTCAGACGAGGCGGGGTTAGGAGGTTGGAGTGTAGGGGTTTAGGGGTTTGGGGGTTTAGGGTTTAGGGGTTTAGGGGTTAGGGGTTTAGGGGTTTAGGGGTTTAGGGGTTTAGGGGTTTAGGGGTTAGGGTTAAGGGCTTCGGAGGTGGGTTCAGGAATTAGGACTTGGGGGTTCCAGAGTTGAGGGGTTTAGGGTCTGGGTTTCCAGAGTTTAGGGTTTAGGGTTCTATTGTTTTAGAGCTTGGGGTTTACGTTTGCAGAGTTTTGCGTGTGTCTTTCGAAGACTGAGAACACCGAGCGCAGATTGCAATGACAGGTCAAGTCGGCCGACATGATCAAAAAGCTCCTGCGGCTTTTGGGGCGGGCTGTGCAGGGGAACGTTGTCGAGGTTTTCCAGAACATGCAGTTTTTCGGCGGTCAGCCAACGTGGGTCGGACAGTGGTCCGTGGTTGTTCGGCTGCTGGGGCCCTGCTCTCCCTTTGCAGCACCTGAGTCGGGGTTACTCTCGATACTGCCTACTGTGTGCAAAGCACAGCACCCAAGGACACCTGATGTCCTCGTCCCACGGGCGCATGATGAGTGCCTGGATGGCAAAGGGGCGGCCAGCACTTCCGCTCTTGGCGGACCGCTTTTCAGATCAAGACCGTCTGGAAATGCTACTGCAGATGCGCCTGCCGGAGCTCACAGACGAAGCTGTGGAGACAGCCAAACAACTGGTACTTGGTACTTCAGTTGGAATGGTACAAAGCACAACCTGGCCAAGCGCCTTTGGACCACCTGCCAGCGGAAATTCCGGATGTGCCTCTGAGCAACCTGCCGGAGGAGATTCCGGACGAGGACGTGGTGATGATGGGAGCAGAGTCGGCGAGGGTTCTAGAGGTTTAGAGTTTAGGGTTTAGGGCGTAGAGGTTTGGGGTCCAGGGGTTAGGGTTTCTTCAGTCGGTTGCTTGGGTGTCTCGGATTTCCCGGTTCGTGGTTAGAGATTAATGTAGAATGTAGGAACCTGATTAAGAAACCTTGGGCCTTTATTCTGGCTCCTTATAGGAATCCTACTATTTTGGGGTTATAGGCCCGAGGTTTCTTAATCAGGTTCCTACATTCTGGGTTCAAGTCTTTGTGCTTAGCCGTCGAGTTGAGGTTCAGGGTCTACGGGCTCATGCCACGGAGCTGATGTGTTTGAGAATTACAGTAGAAGCCCAAAAGTTGGAAACCCCATAGCCTCAATCCTTAGGAGTAATGCATAGGGAATCCCAGCACCTCAATCCGGTTTCCAACTTTCTGGGGTTTACTGTATTGTTAAGGGTTTAGGGTGGATCGAGGATCTCAGGGTTGAGCTAAAGCTCATGGCGCGAAGCCCTCGCACCGAAAAGTGCGGGCTTTAGGCAATGCGGTTTGAGTTCAGGACCCAGAATATCGGCTGCTCTGCCCAAGCGCCATCCACCCTCTATCTACTCTGAAGAGAAGTCTACAGGCAAATCTACAGGAGATAATGCTTGAATCAAAAACCTACACCCTCAACCCTAAACCCTAAGCCCTAAACCCTACACCCTAAACTCTCAACCCTAAACCCTAAACCCCTAAACCCCTAAACCCCTAAACCCTAAACCCCTAAACCCCTAAACCCTAAACCCCTAAACCCCTAAACCCTAAACCCCTAAACCCCTAAACCCTAAAACCCTAAACCCTAAACCCCTCAACCCTAAACCCCTAAACCCTCAACCCTCAACCCTTAAACCCCCAAACCCCTAAACCCCTAAACCCTAAACCCCTAAACCCCTAAACCCCTAAACCCTCAACCTACTTGCGTCGACTCACCCTTCGCATGTGCTTGGGGAGGCCAGCCTTGGTTGGCGCCCAGAATGCTGTCATGAAACAGGCTGGGTTAGTTGTCAAAATCAGGGTTAGGAGGTCCCTTAAAGGGGATCTATAGGGGCTTATAGGGTTCCTTTAAAGGGATCTATAGGGTTTAGGGTCCCTGCATAGTTTTAACAACCATCCGCTTGGCTTTCAGGGTGGAGGGTTTAGGGTTGATAGCTTGAGGTAGGGTTTAGGGCTTAGGATTTAAGGTAGCGTTTAGGGGTTTAAGTTGTAAGTGCGAGAGTTAAACCTATGGCTGCTTGGATCCCCGAACAAGGATTCCTGCCGCTACTCAAAACAACCTGTCCATGAACCTCTCAGCGGAGCGTGCCCCCCCCCCCCCCCCCCCCGCCCCAACCCTAAACCCTAAACCCTAGACCCTAAACCCTAAACCCAAACCCCCAATCCTTAAACCCCGTTGCGGCTGACTATGTGAACAGGTTCCTGTGACTCAGCCTTGCGCACTCTGGCAACGCTAGCATGCAGGCTAGTCTGGCGTCAGCTTTCTGACTATTGATTCTGCAGCTTCTTTTCTCAGTTGAAGCCGCTGGTTCCGACAGTCGATTCGGACCTTGTACTTTCTGCACATGTTGTGTATCATGCCCGCCTGCTGGCAGATCAAGCTGTGGGCGGCCTTCAGATAGCAAAAGCCTCGGAGGACTGATGCCGCATGTTCAGGCCAAGCTGCATTTGTACTGCTTCACCGAGACGATTGGCCCATCGGGGTTGAGCCCGGCCTACACAGGTGTGCTCCTTTCCCTCGCCCGGCGTGCTTCCCGCACCCAGTCCACGGTGACGAAGGAGTCTACCTTGGTGAGAGAGTTCCAGAATCTCAACCGGGATGAGCTCTCCCACAGACAAGCGATGACCTGATTCAGAACCCTGTCCTTAAGAATCCTTATATCTTGGATTTTGTAGGGCCCGCTAATCAGGTTCCTGCGTGTGAAACCTAAACCCTAAACTCCCTAAACCCTTGACCCTAAACTCGAAGACGACCAATATCGGAGACCGAAACTTTTGAATCCTTAAGCGCCGAACCCTAAACCTTAGACCCTAAACCTTTAGCTCCAAATCCTAAGCCTTAAACCCTGAACTCTAATCCCTTAACCTCAACCTTACACCCCAAACCCCAAGCCCTAAACCTTACACCCTGAACCTACGCCCCAAACGCTAAACCCTAAACCCCAAAACTCTAAACCCTTAGCCTTAAACCCTAATCCCCAAACCCGAAACGCTAAATCCGAAACTCCAGAAACCCCACCCCGGCCAGCTCACCAGCGCTCGGAACGTGACCTGGGCCTCATGGCGGCAAGTGGGGGTGTCAAAGGGTTTAGGGGTTTAGGGTTTAGGGGTTTAGGGGCTTAGGGTTTGGGGTTTAGGGGTTTAGGGCTACTAGAAGGGTTCCTTCGAAGATTATTGGAAGGGTTACTAGGCTTGCGGGTGTCGCAGGGTTTAGAGCTTTGGGGTCTGGGAGTTTAGGGGCTTTGGCTTTCTGGGTATCGGGGTTTGGGGGTTTAGGGTTAAGGGTGCGAGGGTTTGAGGCACAAGAGACGGAGATGCACAAATCTGAGATTTGTTCCCGAGGTAGAGTATGATGATTAAGGCCCCTGTACCGACCCCTCATAATCCTCCGCTTAGTAGCCAATCAAGGAACCCTTAAAGGAACAACCCTCACGGCAACCCCATGTCACAATTCGCCTTTGGCTAGCCCGAACCCTGAAGCCCTACACCCTAAACCCCTCCTGAACCTCACACCCTAAACTCTTGAACCCCAAACCCCTCATAGATCCCCTGATAGAACCTCTTATAGACCCCTTCAAAAGGAATCCCTAGACCACTGACGACTGTGTTGGGTTCGTTCTTGACGCTGTTGAACTGGTATTTCCGTCCTTTTTCCAAAAGCACTCCCGGACAGGATTCAATTTTCAGGGGACATGAAGAGTTTTTCGGTTGGAAATGCTTGGGGCATTTTGGTATCTTTGGGCAGAGGCAAAAAATTAAGGATCGGTCATTCGTCCGTCAGACCCCGAGGAGCTCAGTGACGACAAAAGAAGACAGTTTTTCCTGAGCAAGAAGTTAGACAGACACTTCAGCGGCGTACGTAGGAAGCCTGCTGCCAAGAGGCCGGCTGCAGTACCAAGCACTGGTTCAACAGCTTTTTTTCGGCTTGCTGGCACCAAGAGTGCTTGCATGACAGGATCCCAATGTGTGGGGAACACAAACAGGTTTTCCGTGGACGACAAGGGCTTGACCCAGACCCTTTTCATGAGTAAATTCTGCCAGAGGACACAAGCTCTGAAAGCTGCGCTGGCATCGGCGGTTCCTCCGCGTCCGAAGCCTGAGCCGCCTCAGCCTGCTGTGCGGCCGATGGTGCTGCCGCCGAAGTTTCGGGTGCCAGTGCACTTACCCTTGGTTAGTAGGGAATGGAGGAATGGGGTACAATTATAACCACTATTACTACCATAAAACTACCATACTACTTTCATACTACTACCCTATAACTACCATATTACTACCATTATAATTATTATTACTACCATTCTTCCATTCCCTACTAACCAAAGCCCAGTGCAGGTGCAACCAAGACCTGGTCTGGCAACAGCAGCAAAGGTGCAAGCAGTGCCAGCCCTAGGAACAGCACCCTAAACTCCCTTATAGATCCCTTTATAGAACTCCTTATATAGATCCCTTTAAAAGGAATCCCTAGACCCCTAAACACCCTTCTCAGGACCCCCTTTAAAAGGAAGCCCTAGACCCCTAAACCCCCTTATCGATCCCCTTGTAGAACCTCTTATAGATCCCTTTAAAGTAGAAGCCAGAAAGTTGGAATATCATTATCGTAACCCCTCTAAGGTAAATTATCGGGGGATCCTACCATTAATCCATCTTCCAACTTTCTGGAGTTCCCTTTCAAAGGAATCCCTAGATCTAAACCCTCGTCAGCTCTGAAGGGCTTCACCTACTTTCCCAACGCCACGCGTGGAGAAGTGTCCGAGGCTCGCCCGGGCTTCTTTGCGGAAGCTACGTAGGGTTTAGGGTCCAGGGCTTATGTAGGGTTTATAGAGGGTTTATGTAGGGTGTATAGAGGGGCTATCGAGGGTGTATTAAGGGCTTACATAGGTTTTATGTTGGGTTTATGGAGGGCTTTTAGAGGGTTTATAGGGATAGGGGGTTTATGGGTTCTTTAAGGGTTTATAATGGTTTATGGAGGGTTTAATGTTTAAGGCTTAGGGCTCAGGGTTGATAGGTTTGAGGTTTTAAAGGGTTTAGGCTTTGGGGCCTTTGGGTTTGGATTTGGGATTGGTTTAGGGTGCGGGTTTGCGTAGGTTCAAAGGGGAAAAGGAGGGACCCTTAATGGGGACCCCTACCCTATAATGGGCTATATAATGGGTATATAGTGGGTATTTTAGTATATAATAGCTATATTAAGGGTATATACCTAGGGGTCCTTATTAAGGGTCCCTCCTTTTACCCTTGGATAGGTGTGCAGCTCAGAGGTTTCAACGGTTTCGGGACGTTGTCGCAGGTTTTTGGGGGTGTAGGACTTGGGGGTGTCGGGCTCAGGATTCAGGGTTCTGGGTGTAAGCTTACTACGCTAGGAGCATACGAGGTAGCTAATCGAGGGGGCCTAATAATTAGAAAAGTGTTTTTTTCCCATTATCCTATAGTTTTGATAAGCAGCCCCCCAAAGTGGTATAATAGGTTATGATTTAGGCCCCTGTAGTACACTGGTTTTTATGGGAATGAGATGTCATTGAACAGTGGAGCACCTGCTTGAATGCGTAGCCTCCGGGCCAATTCTTGACTTCGGGTTTAGAGGTTTAGGGGTTTAGGGTTTAGGGTTTAGGGTTTAGGGGTTTAGGGGAGTCGAGGAAGATTCTGTAAGTTCTTGGTTTATCGTAGTGTAGTGCCCGAAACCCTATGCCCCTCAAGCCCATTGAGTCGCGAAGCGGATGAGTGGGGACTGGCCGGAATGGATTCAGAGTTACCCTGCCAGCGTGTGCTGAGGGTTTCAGGGCTCAGGGGTGCGGGAATCCAGGATTCTTTCAGGTTTCGGCCGGTTTCGGCTCCGGTTCGAGGTAAGCCGTAGCTAGCAGCAGCCAGTTTTCGAAGGACCACAGCCGGTTGTCAACAAGCGCCAATGGCACTCGGTAAAGGGGTTTGTTGGCTTCTAGCGTCGAGGGCTTCAAATCATGGTCCCGTTCCATAAATCTTGAGCCCTGGATCCAAAGAGAAGCATGCCTAGGGTAGGAACTCGGAGCTCCGGGATGAGTTTGAAGTGGTTAGGGTTTAGGGTGGTATTTCGCATCTTACCTCCGGAGTGTGGGTTGACACCGCTTTTCCGACATCATCAACTAACCCGAAAGTCGTCAACCCTAAACCTTCATTCTGTGGCCTGGTTGAAAGAATAACACCCCGAAGCCGCCCCTAAACCCTGAGTCCCTCAACCCTAAGCCCCTAAACCCTACACCCTGTGCCCTAAGCCCCTAAGCCCCTACACCCTGAACCCTGGCCGAAACTGCAAGGCGGAGTGCAGATTCTTCGAGGACCCGAATGCACTTCCCATAGGGAGTTAGATGACGAAAAAGGTTTAGGGCTCAGGGCTGGGGTTTAGACACCGTTCCCCTTACAGCCGCTGACATGTCTTTATGTATATAATTTCAAGTACTCGTATTGATAAATAAGAACTAAATATAGATATTGGTTCTAGTTTCATAATAGTAATACTAGTAACTAATTATTTTTAAGACAACATAAATACAAAGTTCCGCCAAACCCCTAGGACAACCATAAAGGCCCTATGCTTTCGGGCTAGATTCTGGCAGGTTCTATGCTTCAAGGTTTCAGGCTGCTCGTGCACCTTACCTTGTCCTCTGATTCTCAGAGATGTCAGGATCATTTTAACATCCTTCGCCGATACCGCAAGCCCTAATCTCTAAAGCCAAGTTAGGGCCTATGACCTGGTGACGTAAGCACTGTTCCTGACGTGGACGGCGGTCTGCATAAAGGAAAGTTGGCGTAAAGGAACTTGGGCATCATAAACCCTTCTATCTTTTCGCTACCAGACCTTGAAAGCCCCGCCCCTCGAATGTCTCGCACTTGAACCTCTCACCCTAATATAGGGGCTTAAATATGTTTACCTATACTATTTTGGGAGCTCCTTACGATAATTATAGTATAATGGGCCTCAAAGCCCTATTCTATGTACAACGGCCCCCTATATATTATAGAACCCTACTATAGATCCCTTATAGAAGGATCCCTTTAAAAGGGAGCCCTATTCTAATTATTACGGCCCCCTTTTTTTAAAGCTCGAGCCGAGGACGCCCAACCTGAACCCGGACGCCAAGGGCAGTAAATCCTCAGCGCGAACCCAGAATAGGGGCTGAAATAGGGTATATATAGGGCTTATATGGGGCTTATGTAGGGCGTTTTGAGAGTTCATAGAGGGTGTATTCCCAGCATGACGACCTCCCAAGCCTAAAGACTCCGCATGACTACGTTCACGCGAACATCTTTATCATCACCGTTGTTACCAGAGTATTTTGTGCTTGTAAAGGCCCCGGGCGTAGGGTAAATACTCTAGAGGGTGGAGAACTTGGAAGAGTTTTAGTGTCAGGTTTTTGGTGTTGTTGCTACTGTTGTTGTCTGTTTGTGTTGTGTTGTGTTGCTACAAACCCGAAGCCCCAAACGCTCAGCCCCAGTATAGAAGCCCATATAGAACCCTTTCAGAGCCCCTCTGCAACCCCTTTTAGGAAACCGAAACTATCCTTTAAAAGCAACAGCAGAAGAACCCTCAAGCTTGGATGCTCCAGACTGTTACTGCATGGGGTAGTGCAGAACCCTAAACACCGAAACCCTTAAACCCCAAAACCCGAAAACCTAAACCCCCTAAACCCCTTTAACCCCTGAACCTCTAAACCCCCTTATAGATCCCTGTATAGAACCCCTTATAGATACCGTTTGAGAAAGCCATAAATTTAAGGAAACCGAAAACCCCTGAACCCCTACGTAGTCCCTAAACCCCCTTATAGATCCCTGTATAGAACCCGTATAGATCCTTTCAAGAAAACACTAAATTTAAGGAAACCCTAAAACCCCTGAACCCCCTATGTAGTCCCTAAAGCGAAGGAGATTGTCACGGGCTTTGATCAGGCGGCTCTTCTTCCTAGCCCAGAACCCCCGCCAGGGAGGATCCGAAGATCAAAGGGGAAAAGGAGGGACCCTTAATGGGGACCCCTACCCTCTAACGGGCTATATAAAGGGTATATAGTAGCTATATTAAGGGTATATACCTAGGGATCCTTATTAAGGGTCCCTCCTTTTACCCTTGGAGAAAAGGAGATCCCTTCTGGTTTAACCCTAAACCTCAAAGCATTAAAGGACCCTTACCCTAAATCCTAAACCCTATACCGACCCTAAACCTTAAACCGTTAAAGGACCCTTACCCTAAACCCTAAACCTTAAACTCTAAACCCTTATTTTAACTCTGAACACGAAGGGGTTCCCATAAAGCACGGTTTAGCAGTAGAGGGTCCCAATGGGGGCGTCTATTTTTTAGATCGCTGGGTTTAGGGCTCAGAGCATGCGGTTCAAAACCCCAAACCCGAAAACTTTGGGTTTTGGGGGTTGATGGCTTAATGTGTCGTTGAGGGCTCAGGGAAGGTTCAGGGCTTGCAGTGGCCGGTTTCGTGAGGGAATGTGGAGCTCGCGATTTTGGACTATGTCGCTTGCAATGCAGGGCTGGTTCGATCTGGGGAGGTTGTGGACTTCTTGGTGTGGAGGGTCCTCGCATGGTTGAAGGAATTCGAGTGACACGGGAAATATTGTGGTCACTGCGATCTTCAGTTGAGGGCTGCAGGGAGTTTAGCAATTTTACTTTTCCCCACCATTCAACACTCCTGATCCTCGTTCTCGACATCACCGTCACCAGCACCAGCACCAGCACCAGCATCAGCATCATCATCAGCATCAAGATCAGCATCATCGACAACAACAGCACCATCCACAGCACCGCCATCACTACAACCACCGCCACTATCACCACCGTCACCATCATTAGCATTATGGCCGCCATCGACACCATCACCGCCATCTTCAGCATCGCCGCGATCACCACCGTCACCACCATCGCCACCATCGCTGCCATCGCCACCATCTCCACCGTCGCCGCCACCGCCATGACCAGTATACCAGTATACCAGCATCACCACCATCGCCCCCACCAGTATCACCACCATCAGCACCACGACCCTCACCATCGTCATCATCATGATCATCATCCCCGTCATCATTCCGTCATCATCACGCGCAGACAAAGCCTGACTCACGAAACCCAATTGACGGATCCTAGACCTTTACATGGGCCTACAAAGCTGCGAGGCGACGACCGTCCTTCTCCCCATAACAACTTACATCACGGACTCCTTCCAAACGCGACGAGGCCCTTTCCTGAAGCTCGAAGAGTTGCCGGGGTTAAGAAAAGGTTGGGTGTTGGTTCCGGGGTGCCGATGCCTTAGGTGGCCTCCCTCGTCAAAGTATTCACCTTCGCCCTGAACTCTAAGCCCTGTAGGCCGAAACCTAAAGAGATCCTGGCCTTTGATTTGGAAAGGGCCTGTTTCTCTCTTCCCAGTGTAAGCCCCTTGTGTGGCAGGCTTGTTTTCGCGGACGCTGCTCGCACAGAAAGAAGCCATTGCACTTTAAAAAAAAAACCCTAAACCCTAAGTCTACAGAGCAATAACCATGGAACTTGGAGTCCTCCGACTCCGAGACTAAAACGAGCACATGCAAGTCAGAACCTTGAGTTCTGACCTTGGGGTCACTTGGGTTTGAGAGCGTTCTCTTCTGCTGTTAGTAACCCTAGGCTTCCAGGGACCTCATTATTGGGTCCTTAAGAGGTCTAGGGCCCTAACTAGAACGTCCTTGGAGGCACTGGGTAAGATGGAAGCCTAAATTGTTCAGACTGTGATTTTGGGATTCCCATTGTACTGTCTACTGTAATCTACCCGAAGACTCTTTTCTGATTTCTGAGGCCCCTATGTTACAGTATTGTACTTCAGAGGTGCCCCAACAAGGATGTTTGCCTTCTTCAGGAAGTTTTGACACCTGTCGGTTCTGTGAGACTCTCCACCCTAACCCTCGGGTCTAAACCCTATCAAGAGAGCTGCGGCTGTGGGGATTGATTGCCAGATGTCCAGACAAGCAACCTTAGAGCCTAGGCCTACCACAAATAGTCATAATTCATAACATTTTTTGAATCCTGTGATCCTAGCAGGAATAATCGCATAAATAGTCATCATCATAATAGTTTCTATGAATTTTGTGATCCTAGCAGGAATAACAATCTCAATAAAAACATAGTAGAAACGGGCCCACCTCGTGACATCTCAACCCTGCAGCTGACGCACGAAGCCCAAAGGCCCAAAAGCCCTGTCCCTTGTACCATCTGGGGGATTTCCGAAAATTAGGGATACCTTTTTGGGTACCCTAAATAATAGGTGCTGTATTATAATAGGGACCGCCCATTTCTGTATCCCGAGGATGGCAGTAGCTTGTAAGCCACGGGTCATGCACGTCAGACATGTCCGCATAGCTTTTGCGGCAGGGCCGCTGTTCTCTGTTCTCTTGTAGGCCAATCTGTTGCGGCTCTGCAAGCTTTCCCAAGCCCTGACTCAGAGGTATGCCCAACGCCCCACCCACACCACGGACCGTATACTCTAGACCCAGACTCTGGACCCTGTATTTCAAGCAGAAAAGCCATCAAATCTAAACCCACCACAAACACCCTAACCCCTAACCCCTAACCCCTAAACCCTAAACCCTACACCCTAACCCCTAACCCCTAAACCCTAACCCCTAAACCCCAAAGCCTAAACCCGAACCCATGGCAGAATTCGACATTTTGGTCTTCTGTGGCAGCACCAACGCGTTCGGCCAGGCTCCTGCAGCTTTCAGCTTCCTTGGGTTTTCCCAGATGTCTACTCAGGGTTTAGGGATTTAGGGTTTAGGGATTTAGGGTTTAGGCTTTAGGGATTTAGGGTTTAGGGTTTAGGCTTTAGGGATTTGGGGATTTAGGGTTTAGGGTTTAGGCTTTAGGGGTTAGGAATTTAGGGTCTATAGTATAGGGGCCTGAATAATGGGAATAGAATTCCCTTTAAAGGGTTCCTTTCGGAGGGGCTTGTAAGGGATCTATAGTAGGGTACTGTAGTATGGGGGGCCTTGATAACGAGAATAGGGTTTTGGGGTTAATATAATGCTAGAAGTACAGTCAGGAACCCCAAGGTGTAACTAGGGCTTCGAGGTTTGCAGCCTGTGCGGGAGTCTGCCGGCAAGTGGAGTGTGTCGGGCCGGGCCACGATTCCCGATGAGGTGTTGTTGGACATCATCGCCTCAGGACAAGATGGCCTTGCTGAAACGTTCCCACTGGGTTGTCAACACCAGCCGTGCGTGCTATGTCGCATAGCTGAGACGGGCACCTACTCCGTCCCACTCATCCAACGGATTTCGTATCCGACTCAAGCAAGGCCCTCTTGGATCGTATGAGGTGCTTTCAGGATTTCGGGGTTTTGTAGTTTTGGGTTTTAGATTTCAGGGGTTCGGGGGCTGTCTGCGGAGTTCAAGATTCGGGCCCCGTGGCCCTAACCCCCAAAGCCACACCCGAAACCCTAAACCGGCAGCTTCACGTAGTAGCCAAAATCGAGTAGCCAAGCCTCAGCTGAAACCATGAAGGCCCTAAGCTCTAATTAAGCCTTCAACCGCTTCCTCAGAGAGAGAGAGAGAGGGACAGTTTAGGGGTTTCGGGATTTAGGGTTTCAGGGGCTTCCGGGGGCTAAACCCTAAACCCTAAACCCTAAACCCCTAAACCCTAAACCCTAAACCCCTAAACCCTAAACCCTAAACCCCTAAACCATAAGGTATGGGGGTTAAGGGGTTTTGGAGTTTTAGAGTTTAGGCTTCGTGTGCTCTTTGTGCTAATGGGAGCTGACGTTCGAGGACACTTGCTTCCAACCGTTGACCCCCCCTGTTTAGGGTTTAGGACTTAGGGTTTAGGGTTCAGGGTTCAGGGTTTAGGATCTAGGGTTTAGGGTTCAGGGTTCAGGGTTCAGGATCTAGGGTTTAGGGTTAAGGGTTTTGGATTTAAGGTTTCGGGGACTTGTAAATATTGTACGAAATCCTCCTCCCAAAAGCTATTCTAACATATACGAGGCGTTTCATGAAGGATGAGATCCAAGCGCGCTAGAACCCTGAACCCAAACATAACATCTCCAGTCCTAACTTTGCTAATCCCGACATGGGTCTGGAAACCTTCAGTACCCTTAACCCCCAAGCTACCCTAAGCCCTGAGCCCTAATCCCTAAACCCCTGAACCCCTGAACCCCGAACCTTACACCCGGAAAGTGGAACCTGCAACGCCCGTGAAGGCAATGGTAAAAGCTCAGGCGCTGAATTGGCGCTTTGAGGTGGCGTCGAGATCCAAAAGGGTGCTATAAGGGGTTTAGGGTCTCGGAGTTTTGGGGGGTTTGGGGGCTCAGGGTTTTAGGCCTGAGGATTTAGGGTTCGGGTTCTACATTTTTAGGGCTGTAAGTGCTTGTGGTTTTAGGGTTTCAGGGTTTCAGGGTTTCAGGGTTGAGGATGTAGGGACTCAAAGTTTAGGGTTTAGGGATTGAGGGCTCAGGGTCTATCATGGGCTAGAGGTGTTATGGGTTGAGCTTTGATGAGCACGGCTTGAGAGCGATGAATCCCGGCTGCCTCCGGGGTCGGGGCCTACAACCTGTTGGTGACCCTGCAAGACCCATCGCGAGGCCTTGAGGTGCGGCCCCTCAACTTGATCTACGACGACTCTACAATTTTTGGCCAGCGGAATGCATTTCACGAGGGCTGGTTGGTACAATGTCGGGGGCTTGTCCTCCACTGCTTACAGTGAGCTCCTGCAGCACCTCTCCGTGCTACAGCCCGCATGCTGTCCGGATGTGCTCCTTCTTCAGGAGACCCACTGGAAGGATGATCTTCAGTACGACACGCCTGGATGGCATGTAATCGCATCGTGCACCGATTCTCCTCAGGCGGGGGGGAGTTGCTGTCCTCATATCAGCTGCATTGTGCACTGCTGACTCTATTCTTTTTACTACTCCCTTCAAAGGGCGTGTCTTGCATCTTCGACTACTGGTGGATGGTTGCACCGTAGACGTGGTGAACGTCTATCAAAAGGTGTCTAGTTCCTCCCTGGCTGTTGAAAAAGGTGCTGCCCCTACTGCCACTGCCAAGCAGATCTGTAAGGATGTGTGGTCCGCTCTTCATGGACTTGTGAAGTCCCTGCCACTTCGAAACATCCTCATCGTTGGTGGTGACTTCAACACCGAATAAGCTACCTTTTCAGGGTTCCCTGATATGATCTCTTGATATGCGTCCTTAACGAGGTAAGTTTTTGGTGTTAAAGGTAAACCCAAAACCCCCTAAAGCTTGTGGGTTTAGAGTTTGGGGCCTGAACCTTACGAAAGCCCTCAGCGCCAAGACCCTCAACACCATAAACGTGTCAGGCCAGGGTTTGGGGTTTAGGGTTTAAGGTTTAGGATTTGCAGTTTAGGGTTCAGGATTTTAGGGCTTCAAGTAGGATTTAAAGTTTAGGGTTGAGGGTCTGACGTTTAGGATTTAAAGCTTAGGGTTTTATTATTAGGGTTTAAAGTTGAGGATTTAAAGTTTAGGTTCTAGGGTTCAGGTCTTCATGAACACCCGAAAAGCAGCCAAAACCTACAACTCGAAAGCAGAAAGATCGAACCTCTGGGTGATTGGCGGCCCGCGGAGCAGCTTGGAGTTTTAGGAGTCCATGGACCGGGTTTGGGGTTTAGGGTTTGGGGTTTAGGGTTTGGGGTTTAGGGTTTGGGGTTTAGGGTTTGGGGTTTAGGGGTTAGGGGTTAGGGCTTAGGGCTTAGGGTTTAGGGTTGAGGGTTGAGGGTTTAGGGCTGGGCCCTGACGACAACAGTGACGAAGAGCAGTCAGCGGCTGCAGCATCAGAAAAGTCACAAGAGAAGGCATATAGCTCGAGGTTGCGAGACCAAGCCAAAAGCAAGAACCCCTAAGTGCTAAAGCCGAAACCCCTAAAGCCCCAAAACTAAACTCCGAAGCCCCAAAACCCGAAATCCTGAACCCCTCAAGCCCTAACCCCCTGGACCATCAATCCTAATTGCCGACCTGGGCCCAAAGAAACCTACCTTTTTAGGTATCCGTTTTAAGACAATCGTTTCCTTTTTACGTCCTCAAACATAAGGCTTTATGGGGCCAAGGTAAACCCTACGCATGTCGTCCGCTGGGTACCTGACCTCCGAAATATGTCAATGTGAAATATGTCAATGTGGCTAGTTCTCTAAGTTAGGATTCAGGGTTTAGGGGTTTAGGGGTTTAGGCTTTAGGGGTTTAGGGTTGAAGGGTGGAGGCTTTAGGGGTTTAGGGTTTAGGGCTTTCGGATTAGGGTTTAGGGTTAGAAGGGTGCCTTATGAGTTTTGGAGCCGCACAACAGGGACCCGAACTTAAGGGGAACTATGCATATTTGGGTGGCTGTCAAAAGTAGGGTCCCTTTTTGGGTCCCGTAAAGACAACCACCCATACCCATATATGCTTCAATCCGCATCCAGGTTAACTGCTTTTGCGGGTGCCCGCTGCCGAAACCCCAACCCTTCAAGCCCCAAAGACCCTGAACCAACCCCTAGACTCTAAAGCTCTAAAGTTTTATAGGTCCTTCATTACTGAACCGTCATAACACCTACTGTAGCAACAGGAATGGAGCCCTAAAGCTCCAAAGAGGGTGACACCCTAAGCGCTCATGCCTCCACCTTCTAAAGGCTTAGGGTTCAGGGCGGTTCAACTTCGGATTTTTGAGGGCTTTATGGTTTAGGGTTTGGGGTTTGGGGTTTAGGGTTTAGGGTTTAGATAGGGTTTGGGGTTTGGGGTTTAGGGTTTAGGGTTTAGGGTTTAGGGTTTAGGGTTTAGTGTTAGTGTTTGGGGTCCAGGGGTTTGTCTTTGTTTTAGGTCACCTCGTTCGCCCGCTCTTCTTCCTGGACTTGCGATTGGCTTTCACCAAACCGCAAACCCTAAGGCTCCATGTGCCCATGTAGTACATACTTGGGCCTAAACGGAAAGCCGTCTTCTCGCGGAGGCATTGCTCATGTCGTTCGCATCAGGCACATTGCGCTGTGTGGAGTTTGGTTGTCCAGTTTGGGGGACTTATAGTATAGTAGTTATCATCCAAAAACCATAGTATAATATTGGCGTAGAGCCCTTGTAGTATGATCCTTCAAGGATCCCTTATAGATTCTGTTCTAAGGAACCCTGAACGGAACCCTATTCTAAATATTCAGGCTCCTGTATCAGGGCTTGCGAGTTTGGAGTCCGATCAGGATAGATGACCCGCGCAGGCGGATTTCGGTCTTCAGAAAGGTTTAGCCTTCAGGGTGTGGTCATAAAATTGTGGACGACCCTAAACTATCCCTAAACCATACTTGAAGGTTCGTGGGCAGTTACAAGTGGGGTTATATAAAGTAGGGCAACTATACTTAAA